GATCCTTTTTTTTTTTTTTTTTTTAAGATTTATTTATTTATTTGAGAGAGAGAAAGCGCACAAGTAGAGGGAAGAGGCAGAGGGAGAAGTAGGCTCCCCACTGAGCAAGGAGCCCAATGTGGGGCTTGATCCCAGAACCCTGGGATCATGACCTGAACCGAAGGTGGACGCTCAATTGATTGAGCCACCCAGGAGCCCCCTGTCTCAAGATCCTTAATCACATTTGCAAGATTGCTATTGTCATATAACGGGAAATATTCACAGGTTTGAGAAATTAGGACATAGACTTCTTGGGGAAAATGCATAATTCCACCTAATACTTTCTTTTTGGAATTCCTTATTATATGTATGCTAGACCTTCTCACAGTATCTTTTATATCTTTTGTCATCTCTTCTATATTTTCCCATCTTTTTAAGTCTCAGTGTTTTCTCTGACCTGTCTTTTCATTTTACTAATTCTTCAACTGTGCCTAACTCGTTAAATTCGTCCATCCAATTCTTAATTTTGGCCATTTTTAATTTTAGAATTTATGTTTGGTGCTTATTAAATTCTGCCATGTCACCTTTTATTCTGTAGTTCTCTACTGATAAATTTTTTTCTTTTTTAAAATAAACTCTACCCCCACCATGGGGCTCAAACTCACAACCCCGAGATCAAGAGTCACATGCCGTACCGACTGAGCCAGCCAGGCGCCCGTCTACTGATACTTTCAGTCTTGATTTTTATTTCGTTAGCATGCCGTATTATGTTGTGTCTGACAGTTCCCGTATCCGAAGTCCTCGTGCATATGTTCTGGTTTGCACGTGTAGTGCTTTTTTCCTTGTCTATTTACTTAAAAGAAAAAAAACAACTAAAACATTTACTTTATGTAAATGGAATCATACCCAATATACCTTTTTTGTGTCTGGCTTCTCTTCCTCAATGTTATGTGTATGTGATTCATCCGTAATATTGTTCTTAGTTGTAGACTCATTCATTCTTGTTGCTGTATAGTATTCCACTGTGCCTGGCTACCTTTGAATTTATCTTGTCCTAATATACGGAAAGTTATTTATAGAAAAAAAACTAAGGCCTGGGATGATGGTATTATCTTCCAGAAGGGACTCTTTCTCCCTGGTCTCTGGTGGGAGAGTCTACTAGTAGGAGACTAATTAGAGTTGAAGGCTTGAGGTTTTGTTGGACCACTCACATAGAGGATATGAAGCTGGACTGTATTTTGCTTTTCCCACGACTTGCATTTGCTTCTAGTTTACCCTTCCTCTGAAAGCTTAGCCCTTTGGAGTCCCAGCTTAAAGTGGGGGTGTTATTAGAATCCCCATCTCTGAGGGACCCTGAACTTTGGCTCCTGCTCCCTCCCGGTCAGAGACCCGAATGCTGACAAAAGAGCAGCTCAGGGGTCGGGAGGACCCTAACAGGGCCAAAAAAAGGGCCAACTGGTCCGAGTGCTTGTTTTTGTGTTTTTTTTTAAAAATTTTATTGATTCATTTGACAGAGTACAGTGAGAGAGGGAGCACAAGCAGGGGCAGTGGGAGAGGGAGAAGCAGGCTGCCCGCCGAGCAGGGAGCCCGATGCGGGGCTCGATCCCAGGACCCTGGGATCGTGACCTGAGCCGAAGGCAGACGCTCAACGATGGAGCTACGCAGGCGCCCCTGGTCCGAGTGCTTGTACCAGTGGGGCCCTGTGGGATGTGCTGTGCCACCTGTGATACTGCCCTCCTTCGTGGTCAGGCGTCGGGCCGAGCAGGAGTGAGGCAGACACTGTTGTGGTCAGGGTGCCCACCTGGCCTGTGTGTCTGCCCAAGCAAGGGCTCACCAGTCTGCTTCTCTGCTTCTCATTCCAGCCTAATTCAGTGGTTTGAGACAGCACCAAGTCGGACCTGCCCCCAGTGCCGAATCCAGGTGAGGGTGATGGGGTGAAAACACCTCAGCTGAAGACAGCTTTTCCTTGCCAGGGAGCAGGAACCAGGGAAGATCTCTGAAACTGAACAGTATCTTTGACCTTTTTGGACCCTCTTGATTTGAGGCTGATTAAGCCTTGTGCTCGGAAGTGGCTCAGGAGGCCTGCTTATGCCCAAGAGTAGCTGGCAGATAGACTTGTTGCCTGGGCCGGTTTTCACCTAGGTAAATTTAGCCTCTTTCCTTGCCTTTCCCCGTCCTCAATGCCCAGCACCTAGAGTTGGGGTATCTTTTGAACAGTCACCTCATGGGTCTGCGATGACATGACTCTAGTAACCACCAAACCAGTGGCACCAGCGTGGGGTGACTGTAGGGTTACAGAGCTCATCTGATTCCAAGGGATGTGCCATGAAAAGTGAGGGCTGAGAACAGGCCTGGCTGCATGTTCAGCTGCATGTACATCCCTGTCATCCTTGCACATGACCCAGCTATACATTCATACTCTGTCTTGTCCTTCCATCCAGGTTGGCAGAAGAACCGTTATCAATAAGCTCTTCTTTGACCTTGCCCAAGAGGAGGAGAGTGTCTTAGATGCAGAATTCTTAAAGGTACCCAGGATTTATGTCCTTCTACTGAACCCCAAGCTGTCTGAGAATTTACTCTCTGCTCCCTCACAGGGTGGGTGTGTGGATTGTGGAGATGGAGTCTGGAGGGAGAGTCATAGAGGTTTCAAGGCAGAGGGGAGGAGAGCAGAGGAAAAGTGATGATAAGACCCAGTCATTGGAGAAATACACTGTTAGGGCAGAGAGGAGCCACGTGACTGTGAGCCTTCACCCTTGGGATTTCAGAGCAATTCCTTCCAAAGACCAGAGTGTCTCTCCCGACGTTCTCTCACCTTGCAGAGCTTCTACAGCCATCCTTCCCAGCCCACTTTGCTGCTTGGACAGCTAGAGACAGATCAGGAAACTCTTCTAGTCCTCAGCCAGGGAAGATGTGTGGACCCACTATTGACAAACCTGTCTGTGCCTCAAAACTGTGGGGAAGCTTGGTATATATCCAGGTGCCTGAGTCTTTCCCAGGCCAGGAATGGAGGGCAGAACCCCTGGAATCAGGATGTGAGCCAGGGCAGAAACCCACAATGCAGGGGAGAATGGGTGAATTCCCCCCTACACTTCTTCCCTTCAAGCCCAAGATTTAACTTTCTTTGTGCTGGGTTGGCCAAAACCTCTTGAGGAAGCACGATTGGGGTTCGAAATGTACCTGGACTCTGCGGGTTCATTTGCTGGGCATCTGTCAGCCCAGGGTTCATTTGGCCTTGGCCCCAGGGTGCCGTGATGTCCTTGGAACCTTACTGCTTCAAGAACGTAGAGCTTTTGTGCTAAAGCCAGCATGTTCATCGTCATGGTAACTGCTCCTGGTTTTAAGCTGCGTCCTCCCTGTGATAAAGACAACAAAGGCAGCTTCGTTTCTTTCTGGCTTTCAAAGCCAGATCTAGGAGACAGAGAGACAACATCTTGAATGGTTTGGAGCAAGGGCTTGTAGGTACCTTGCTTAGGTGTGGGGGCCAGGGGACTCGGGGGAGCTTTGGGTTGGTGTCTGTTCTCTGGCAGTACGTGCATGCCCTTCTCTACCCACCACTTGCACTCCAGGATGTTCTGCCTACGCTGAGCCGCCCAGCCACCAAAAGCTTTTGCCCCAGAGTCCTGGGTGGGGATTTTCACAGCAGGGAGCTTATCCTACTGGGGCTGGGCTTTAGTATTGGTCACATGTGAAATTCTGAGTCTTGTATTGACCTGGAAAGGGTGATCTGGAGGAAGATTTACCTGGATTCCATCCTGCTACCACCATGAACCCTTCCTTGGCCAAGCCTTTCAGTTCTGCAGTGCCTGGTTTTCCTGCTTATGGAAAATTTCTCTTGCCCATGGGGGTGTTGAGTGCTCCGGACTCCTGAGTGGGAGCCTCTCAGTGGTTCTGTGGCCGTGGCTCTGTAACTTACGTACGGGCTTTGAGAGGTTCATTTGACCCTCACAGTAGTGTGGTTAGAGCCCAGCACGTGTGGCGTTTCATCCGGAGACATAAAGTTGTCCCAGCTTACCTACCTCATCAGGATTGGAAGATTCGTGACACACAGAGTGAGTTCAGAGCTTGGAGAGAAGTAGCCTGAAGCAAGCAGGACCTGGGGTGCAGTGAAGGAGTGGTGACCCAAGGTCCTTAGCCATCCGCACTCTGTGTCCCCAGTGAGTACAGCTGAAGCCCAGAGAGTGTAAGGGCCAGCACAGGGCCAAGGAGGTGATGGAGGCCTTGGCTGTGAGACTGATCACACAGGTCTAGCTTCGCTTCTCTTGCCCCTGTTCTGCCTCCTTCCCTGTGCCAGTGTCTTGTACTTGAGATTATTTTCCTCCATCTTACCTACTTTTTAAAAAAAGCATAGAGATAAAGCAAGACATATCTCTTCACTGTTGGCTTAGCTTGGCCGTGACATATAGCAGGGTCTGTGCCTCCCTGGACCTACAGGCCTCACTTTCACCTCCTGGATCTCCCTGCAAGCTTTTTGGGATGCTGTATGGAAGCCAGGTATGATGCTTTTCTGCTTCTTATTGTGGATATTGCCTTGTAGAATGAACTGGATAATACGAGAGCCCAGCTTTCCCAGAAAGGTGAGTTAGTAAGAGACTGGGGGCCTTGGGAAGCTCCTGACCTAGGTGCTTGGGGGAGAGGCCCTGGGAGGAATGCCTCTAGCCTTCTGGTGAAGCTAGGGGCTCTCCCTGCTTTCTATATCCAAGAGTTTTGCCGGCTCTTGTGATTGGCAGGAAAGGAGAGGAAAGGGAGGTGCCTCAAGCCATCCTCCTAGGCCAGATGAGCTTCTTCTCCTTGTCTGAGGCTACTTGCCCAGGACCGAGGCTGGGAGGGGGCTGCCTAATGGGACAGACTATTTCTAGGAGAGTGTTTGGCTGCGGAGTTTGGCAGGAAACCTGCTTGGGTTCTAAGATGATGAATTAACTAGACCCATGGGAGTGGACAGCGGTGAAATCTTTACTCAGGTAGTTCTAAGCAACAGAAAGAGGGTCTCATCCCCTGAATGAAGAGACTCTGGCTTAGCTTCCCTGGTTTGGTGCATGCCAGAGAGAGAAGTGGGCCACCCAACTTGCTGACCGGGGACTTGTTCCTTACCTGGCTCAGGGGTGCAGTGCTGGAGCCCAAGGGCTCAGGTTCTTATGCTGATGGGTGAACGGGCCTTCCCCCTTCCCACCCCTGCTGCAGAGAAGGAGAAAAGGGACAGCCAGGTCATCATTGACACCCTGCGGGACACGCTGGAAGAGCGCAACGCCACTGTGGAATCTCTGCAGAAGGCCTTAGACAAGGCCGAAATGCTGTGCTCCACCCTCAAGGTGGGTCCCCGGGTCCTGTGGGCACAAGTCCGTTGGCCTTATCTTCTGGCTCTGCCTTGGTCATGACCTTCGTTTGTGCAGTTATAAAGTGGAGGCAAATCCCTTCTTCCCCAGGCCTCCAGTGTTGTACCCATCCAGTCCGTAAGCGAGGGGTCATATTGACTGTGCTTATGGATTTTGTACCGAGTAGTCTGAAGAGGTGAGGCCTTCCCGGCGCTTCTCGGAGGGGCAGCTCAGCCAAGACCTCAGTGAGGCTGGACCTTGTTTCCAAAAGTGGTTTGTACTCCACCGAAGAAGCCAGACGGAAGAACCTTCCATTAGCACTCTAGTCCTTGGCTGGGCTGCTCTCTGGAGCCAGATCAAACAGCATCCCAAGGAGGAGCAGGGGGCCTTTGAAGTCAGCTGTGCTGAGCTGACCGGGCAGATCAAAGCCTGCAGAGCAAGCCGCTCTAGACCCAGATGAATTTTGTATCAGCCTGGGTTGGTGAGCCTCTTGCTCTCTAAGGGGCATGAGGCGATTGATCTGAGCCCGCAATTGATATTCTGGCCTCGTAAGAAGGAGCAGTCCTTGCTGGATGCCATTTGAAAGGGAAAGGGAGCCATCTTTGTGAACAGACAGAGCCCCAGGGTGTTCGTTGTCTCTGTTCCTGCTTGGTGGCTGGGCTGGGTCACGTGGCCTGGCCAGTGGGAGGGAAGGAGTGAATCAGGACCTGGCTGCAGAGCGGGCATCTTTGATAGCATTCCCAGGTCAGAGATGGAGTGCTTTTGTGCTGAGGGCAGCCTGGCTAGCTGCCTCTGGTTCAGCTCTCCTAGCCTGACTGATAACTGTCCTTGGGTCTAGATGGTGGATAATGAGACCTGGATTTGTGTTTCTTCAGCTTCCTACATGACATGCACCGTGAGCCCTTAGGCCACAGGACCTTGGCAGCCCACAGTGGGCCTCTAGCTAGTGGCAGTGGGTTGTGCCTGGGGTAAGACATATCTCAGGAGGAAGCAAGCAGGGAGGTGAGGAAGCAGTTGGCATAGGGCCTCATAGCAGAAAAAGCACAAGCCAGAGTGGGGCCCAGGAGCCTTCCTCCCTGGAGGCTGGGCACACACGGTTATCAGCACTTGGAAAAGCAGACAGTTCTAGAGTAGAGGTCTCAGGATGACTTTAGCCACGGGCCCTGGGATCGTCCAAGCAACAGGTAGGCACGGGTGTGTTTGCTCTTCAGAAGCAGATGAAGTACTTGGAGCAGCAGCAGGACGAGAGCAAACAAGCCCAGGAGGAGGCGCGCCGACTCAGGAGCAAGATGAAAACCATGGAGCGGTGAGCCCGGAGCTGGGGACTCCCTCCGCCCTTGCTCCTACGGCCCAGAGAGGGCCCAGCTCTTAGGACTGCAGTAGGGGTTGGCACCTCTGTGGCGCAAACCTCTGTAGGCCATGTGGGGTTCAGGCCAACTGGGTGTGGGCCCAGGTGTCCTTGCTCGGCCTCGGTGGGCTCCTCCACTTTCCAGGGGGCCCCTTGCCTCAGTCCTCCCTCTTCCTGTTGCCCGTGGCCCGGTGACCTGGCAGGTCTTGTGCTCCAGAGACCTTTCTCCAAGGATCCCTGACGTTGAGGACCTGTCAGCACCCATCCTTCCCCAGCAGCGTCCCTGCAGCTGTGTTCAGCTCTGCTGTGGGGCCTTCCTTCGGGTAGACCCGCCTGCTGAAGCATGCTGGCAGGCCAGGCTGTCACCATAGCAACAGCAGCAAGGGAAAGCCGAGCTGCACTGGGTACCTACCCATCAGCCTCCAGGTTGTAAATGCCATGGGCTGGGTGTTTTTCAGGATCGAGCTCCTGCTCCAGAGCCAGCGGCCCGAGGTGGAGGAGATGATCCGAGACATGGGTGTGGGGCAGTCCGCGGTGGAGCAGCTGACCGTGTACTGCGTGTCCCTCAAGAAGTGCGTACTCCGGCCCCTGTGGCCCAGTCCGGGAGCTAAGCCACGGCCCCTCTCTGCTGCCCGTCTCTTGTAAAGCAGAGCAGGCAGACCTAAGGGGCGGGCTCCGGAGCTATGCTGCCTCAGTTTGAACCCTGACCCCACCTCTTACCGAGTGGCCACGAGCCAGTTTCTTGGCCTCTGACCCACAGCTTCCTGAATGGAGATAGTAATAACTTGCCTCATTGGGTTATTGAGAGAATGAGTGTGAATATAAATGTTCTTTCTTTTTTTTTTTTTTAAAGATTTTATTTATTTATTTGAGACAGAGAGAATGAGAGAGAGAGCACATGAGAGGGGGGAGGGTCAGAGGGAGAAGCAGACTCCCTGCAGAGCAGGGAGCCCGATGCGGGACTCGATCCCGGGACTCCAGGATCATGACCTGAGCCGAAGGCAGTCGCTTAACCAACCGAGCCACCCAGGCGCCCCTATAAATGTTATTTCTAAGAAGGTTGGCACCACTCTCTGGGCTATAAGCCCCATCGTGATAAATGGAGCCTGTTTCCTATCAGCACTCACCGACTCTGCCTGACTTGCATCAGAAACTTTGCTACTGTGGATGTGAGGTTGGGGAAAGGGGGCTACTTGGCTGACAGGCACGGAGGATCCCAGATGTCTCCTATGAGGGCCACGTGGTATAGGAGGCCTCTTCGTGAGGGCAGGGCTTCCTGCAAACCCTCTCCAATCACCAGTGCCTGCAGGACAGGCAGGCAACAGAGACTCCCCTGCTCTCCTTGCAGGACCTTCCGCAACACCATGCTGCTGGGCTCAGGTGTCAGAGTAGGAACGAGACCTGGCTGAGGGGACAGCCTGGGCTTTGCGTTTGTTCGGTGCTGTGGTGCAGTCTGACCAGCAGGGTGCCCCATTCTGACATCTCTTTTCCTGGCCCCCTCATAGGGAGTATGAGAATCTAAAAGAGGCACGGAAGGCCTCAGGGGAGCTGGCGGACAGACTGAAGAAGGACTTGTTTTCTTCCAAAAGCAAGGTAACGGTGGGGAGCAGAAGGTGAAGGGAGCGGGGGCTATCCTTTTGTCGTGCTCGGTCCTGTCTCCTGAGCAAAGCCATGGGGCCTGTTGGTGCAGCAGACTCCACGGGGCCTCTGGGTGATTCACAGAGACTGGTTACTGGGCCTTGGCTCTGGCTCTGTGGCTTGTCCCCTTAGGGTGGCAGGTCATGCAGGCATCCCCCCCAGTACGTGCACACTTACGCTCCCTTCTATCCTTCCTGGCCCCGGGCAGATCCCGAATGTGACAGTGTTAGAGGCGCGCTTTTGTCCCAGGCCCAGAGCAAGAGGAACGTACCTGGAACCCCATTCAGTCAGCACAGCTGCTTTATCTCTGGGCCCGGTGCATCCATGGGCTGTCGGGTTTAGAACGCAGCCCTAGTTCCTGGGCAGCTCCGGATGGGCATGGACAGGCCCCACAAAGCCACGGTCTCCCCATGTGTCCTCAGGACTCTTCTGGACCCTGGGCTTCTGTGAGCATGCACTGGGTAGCAGCAGGTGGGGGCAGAGCACATGGCCATCTGCTGGCCTGTCCTTTACTCCCTATACTTTCTTGTAGTTGCAGACAGTCTACTCTGAACTAGACCAGACCAAGTTGGAGCTGAAGTCGGCCCAGAAGGATTTACAGAGTGCTGACAAGGAGATTGTGGTAAGGAACATCCCTGGCCAGACGGGAACGAGGGGTCATTTGTGTGTCCTCCGAGAACCTAGAAACCTGTGTCCCAGTCTGTGGCGGTGGTTCTGGGTTCCCGGCATCCTCCTGGGTCAGAGTGGGTCAGGATGTGTACCTTGGCCCTGATTTGGAACCTGGGCCTCCTCAGTAGGGGACAGACAGCACCATGGGTCTTCCCCTACAGCCTGTCCTGTACCTATATCCCCAGGGCTATAGCCTCACCAGAGGAGAGGCTTCACCAGAGAGGGGTTCTGAGGCCAGGTGATCCAGGGGGTTCAGGATGTTGGGGGTTCAGGCCTTGCTCTGTTCCCAGTGGGCTTGCCTGTCGTGCATGTTGTCATGTCCTTGACAGTCTCTCTGGACTTGCTGCCTCAGCCTTCCTTTCACACTCTTCTCTTTCCTTCCCCAAGAGCCTGAAAAAAAAGCTAACGATGCTGCAGGAAACCCTGAACCTGCCACCCGTGGACAGTGAGACTGTCAACCGCCTGGTTTTAGAGAGGTTGGTTGACTTCCTGGGGTGGTGCAGGGGTCATAAGCTGGAAGAAGTCCCTGGTAAGGGTCTTCACTACTCCTGGCTTTGGTCGGGTGGGTGGTCCATGTGGGCCTGAAGGCTGTGGGCCTCCTGCCCTGGGACATAGCCAAGATTTAGTTGGAAAGCAGCTTTGAGGCAAGTTCTGGGCTGACAATGAAAGGCTAAGGTAGGCCAGAGAGGACCTAGGGATGGGTAGGGAAGGGGCAGGAGTGTTGACTGTCCTCACACATCCTATTTATGAAATGCTTACCAAATGCATTTGTCTGCCCCAGATTCTGAAACAAACATGAAACCAGTCACCAAAATAAATTCTCCGCTGGTCTCAGGAATGTGTGCATTAAAGCTGCCGGCAGAGGGAGCCAAGAGACAGAGGGATGGGTGTCCCTGCCGGGACTGGCTGCCCATTCCTCCTGAGTGTCACAGAAGCCGAGCTAAGAGCATCTCTGGGCTGTTCTGCCTAGCTGCCCAGCTGATGGCCCAGACGGAAAGCACATAACCCAGTGGCCCAGCCTTTTATTTGAGCCACTTTTCAATGTCCTTCGGAAAATCATTATGCTCCTTCTTCCTCACATCCAATCAGTTGCCAGAGTCTGCCCATCTAACGTCTGTGGTGCCTCCTAATCCTATCTATCCCTGGCCACCACCTCCAGGTGAGGCTGGTGACCCATCCTCCGCTCCTCCTGTCTGCCCGGCTTATCAGCCCCCGGCTTCACGTCATTCCTCCCCCCACCAAACACTCCCAGACCTCTTGGCACTGTGCCTAAGGCACTCGTGGAGTGAGCCCGTAAGCACACACCCAGCTATGAGTAGACTGGGAGCCGCGTCTTGATCTGTGTTCCTCACCACCAGCTTCCTTACACATACATTCTTTTCCCCACACCATACTACCTGGTCAGCATCTGCACCGGGGAGCGAGTGCCAACAAGCCAGTGTCCTCTCCTTCTCATTTTACCTTTAGTTCCTCATCCGTACTCTTTCCTTTTTACCTCAGACCCTCCAGTGTCTCTTCATGGAGCTAGAGCTGCCTGCCCCCCCGCCAGTTTGGGTTGGACTGAGAAATGGCTGTGGGAGTCTGATGGGCACATGACTCTCTGTGAGGTCCAGCGTGTTGCTGATTTGGACAAACTAGACGCCATATCTGGTCCTTCCTCCCCATTCCACCCTCAGAGCCCGCTGGCCACGCTGGCTTGGAAGCCCCAGGTAGCACAAGGGCGCTGTCAGGAGCTTGACTCATAGGGAGCCGATAGTCTCGAAGACCATCTCATGTGGTCAAACATTTAGAACTCAAACTGCCTCAAGGCAGGAAGGAAAAATCCTTTTCCTAGCCTATCAAGGCTGTTATCGACAAGCTCCACAGTGCTCCCTCCGCTTCCCACTCCGTGGGCCTCAGGGTATTTCCACACACATGTGCTCTGTGTCTGGCATCCACAGTGAGGGATGCCTCTAGGCTTCCAGGGACTTTGCATACCTGCCTTTGCTTACTTTCTTTACCACTCCACGCCAGAGCGAGGCCTAGACTTCTTTTTTTTTTTTTTTTTTAAGATTTTATTTATTTATTTGACAGAGAGAGACACAGCGAGAGAGGGAACACAAGCAGGGGGAGTGGGAGAGGGAGAAGCAGGCCTCCCACAGAGCAGGGAGCCCGATGCGGGGCTCGATCCCAGGACTCTGGGATCATGACCTGAGCCGAAGGCAGACGCTTAACGACTGAGCACCCAGGTGCCCCGAGGCCTAGACTTCTGTAACCGGTTCTTACTGAGGGCGTGCTGCATGTCAGGCCCCCTCAGTCCTCTTGGAGCTTGTGTTCCAGTGGGGTAGACAGACTGCAGGGTTAGATGGCGAAGCCCCAAGATGGCGAAGCCCCAATCGCCCCCGACCACACACCACGACAGGTCACATCCCATGACAAGAAAAGAGGCGCTTGTGCCATTTGCATTTAGAGGCTTCAGTGAGGGGTGAGCCTGGCTGTCAGGGCTGGGGCACGCGGGAGCCACCAGGGTGTGCGGCTTGGGCTGGGGGTGTGCGTGTGTGGCGTGGCTGTGGAGAGCGGGGTGTGATGAGGCTTGTTGACCCTCTGGGGTGGGAGACAGTGGCAGAGGACTTGCTGGGGTCCGTCGATAGTGGCAGAATTAACAGAGACTACAGAAATGTTGCCATGAGTGCTTCTGGCTGCCGCTTTCTGCTGTGGCTCCCAGAGCGGGAAGCAAAGCAACCTGCATGGCATTGGTTTGAGGCGGGCTTGTGCAACCTTTGTTTTCACTTGCAGGCAAGAAGGGGTGGAGCTTCCAGGGACCTGGCCAGGGAAAGGAAGAGATAGTCCGAGCTTCCCACATTGCTTACCCACCCAAATCAGTGCACGTAGTCCCCTTTCCTCCGATCAGCATGCCCCAGTGGGCCCCGGCCAGAGGCTCATACCCTCACAGTGCATCCCTCCGTCCTAGAGCAGTGGGAGTAGGGCTTTGGGCAGCCCTGATGACAAGGTCCCTAAGGGAAGGAAATAGAGGATGTTCTTGGGGCTGCCCTGCCACTCCCCAGAGTTCTCTGACCACAGGAGCTAGGGAGCCCCACCAGGCCTGGGTGGGCTAGAAAAATCCTAGTGGCTGCAGTTTTCTAACAGAATACCAGCCCCCCGCCCCCCATTATAAAAGTAACAACACATTCATTGTTGAGAATTTGGAAAATACGGACTTAGCGCAGAGGTCGCTGTTGACATGTGGTTTATTTTCTTCTAGTCTTTTCTCTGTATGTGGGGAAAGGGGTGGGGGGATGTGTGTGCACCAAAATTGTACTTTGCATAGAGTTGCTTTCCCAAATTACAGTGGTAAAACATACCTAACAAAATTTAGCAACATTTTCAAGTGCACAATTCAGTGGCATTACATACATAATGTGGTCTCCTCTCCACCAGCCACCTCCAGAACGCTTTTCACCTTGAAAAACTGAAACTCTACTCATTAAACAATAACTTCTGTTTTCCAGCCCCTGGCACCCACCATTCTACTTTCTGTCTCCATGATTTTCACTACTCTAAATCCCTCATATAAGTGGAATCATTCAGTATTTGTCTTTTTGTGACTGGCTTACTTCCCTCAACATAATGTCCTCAGGGTACATCCATGTTGTAGCAGGTGTTAGTATTTCCTTCCCTTTTTAAAGCTGAATTATATTCCATTGTATGTATATACCACATTTTGCTTATCCATTCGCTGGTGGATGGACATGTGGGTTGCTTCCACCTTTTAACTGTTGTGAGTGTGCGGCTATGAACATGGCTGTGCAAATATCTCTTCGACATCCTGCTTTCAGCTCTGGATGTATACCCAGAAGTGGAACGGCTGGATCCTACGGTAATTCTGTTTTTAATTTTTTGAGGAACTGCTGTACTATTTTGCATGGCAGATGTACCATGTTACATTCCCACCAACAGGACATAAAGATGCCAATTTTTTTTTCAAGATTTTGTTTTTAAGTAATCTCCATACCCAACATGGGGCTCGAACTCATGGGCTCGAACTCATGACCCTGAGATCAAGTCGCCTGCTCCACACATTGGGCCAGCAGGGTGCCCCAGGGTCCCAATTTTACCACATCCTCACCAACACTTGTTATTTTCTGTTTGTTTGGGGTTTTTGTTGTTGTTATTCATAGCAGCCATCCTCGTGGGTGTGAAGTAGTATCTCATGGTAGTCTTGATTTGCATCACCCTAATGACGAGTGACGTTGAGCATCTTCTCATGGGCTTACTGGCCATCTGTAGATCGTTTCTGGAGAAAAGTCTATTCGAGCCCTGTGCACAGTTTTGAACTGGGTTGTTTGTTTTCCATTATAGAGCTTCGGTTCTATCTATATTCTGGATTTTAGCTCTTTATGTGAGAGATGATTTGCAAATAGTTTCTTCCATTCTGTGGATTGCTTTTTTACTCTGTTGACAGTGTCTTTTTTTTTTTTTTTAAGATTTTATTTATTTGACAGAGACACAGCGAGAGAGGGAACACAAGCAGGGGGAGTGGGAGAGGGAGAAGCAGGCTTCCCGCCGAGCAGGGAGCCCGATGCAGAGCTTGATCCCAGGACCCTGGGATCATGACCTGAGCCGAAGGCAGACGCCTAACAACTGAGCCACCCAGGCGCCCCGACAGTGTCTTTTTAAGATTTTATTTATTTATTTGTGAGAGAGAGAGCATGGGGGCAGGGGGGAGAGGGACAAGCAGACTCTGCGCCAAGCCCAGAGCCCAGTGTAGGGCTCGATCCCACAATCCCAAGATCATGACCCAAGCCAAAACCAAGAGTCAGATGCTCAACTGACTGAGCCACCTGGGTGCCCTGATTGTGTCTTTTGATGCACACAATTTTGAATTTTTTTGAAGTCCAACTTGTCTTCTTTTTCTTTTATCACCTAGTATACAGAGTTTTGTATTACTTTTTAAATGTAGTGTATGAGCATTTCCCCATGTTATTAAGTTTACTCTCCGGAAACACTAATGTCTGCATCATATTCAGGCTGTGAAAGTGCCAGCCCCCTGGGGAGTCATTTGACCATTTCCAATATTGTGCCATTTGCCATCTATATCAATCTGTGGTCACATCTCTGGCCCCTTGCACTGCATTCTGAGAAATGAAGCTGTTTGGTCAGAAGGCAACCTTTTGTTTGTACTCTTGGGTTTTGTGTGTGTTTTGCTTGCTTCCTTCCATGTCTTGAAGACTTTCACTGGTCCCATGTCTGAAGCACTAAGCCAAGTGGTTTTTTTCTGTAGAGATTCAGGCTTCCTTGCAGGATGGCCCTGAGCCAGGTGTGGGCTCCAGACCCCTGGAACCAAGCCATCTCTGATGCTTCAGGGACTGTTGTCCTTCTGGACTGCCATGGTGGTCCAGAGTAACCGGGCCAACTCTGCCTATAGCCCAGCCCCCATGGAGATGCTGAGCCTGAAGCTTCGCCGACCAGCCTTTGGTGATGACATTGACCTCAACGCCACCTTTGATGTCGACACGCCTCCATCCCAGCCCTCCAGCATCCATCATGGCCGTGCCAAGAAGCTCTGCCAAGAGATAGCACAGTAAGTGGGAGTCCCTGGCCCTGTCCACAGCCTCGAGGGAGGATGACCAAGAGGTCTCTGCAGGCCCTGCCCTCATCACTCCGAGTGGCTGATAGGGCAGTGAGGGTCACCTGGGGTTGACCATGACTTTGATTCTGACCACCTCTTCTTCCCTCTCCTGAATACTGTGTGCAAAGCTCTTCTCTTGCTTGTTTTAGTCATCACTGCCACCCTTTAGGCAAAGGGGTTGTGATGTGAGTTGGAGAGAACACAGGGGTCCCAGTAGGGGCAGGTCTGGGTTGATGATGTTGGAAGGTGTGTGTGCTCCCCATACCTTGAATGCCTGCCTACCAGAGTCCTGAGCCAGGGACTCTGAACTTCCTCTTCCATTGTGTGCCTCTTTGGCTCTTGCTTAGAACCATCTCAAATCATGGAGCCCAGGGCCCCACCACCTAAGGGGGTATCCCACAGGGGCAGGTGTAAGAAGCTGTGGGGAGCTGCAGTGGGATGGGTGGGACCTGCACTAGGGGCGCAGTGGACTGGGAATGGCAAGTTGTCTGCTTGACCAGGCAGGCCAAGTATGGTTCATCAGGGAGACGAGAACTACTCCCGTAGGTACATGTAGGTATACGCTGCTCAGGTAAGGGGGTCAAGGGCAGAGTGGGTTTCCTCCTAATTGGAGACTTTGCACATGAGAGAAAGAAATTGAGGTGTTAAGCAGTGAAGGTGGGAGAGGCCTGGGGAGAGGGCAAAAGGGAGAGCCAGCTGGACTCTCCACCTCTCCCTACCGTTGGGGCTAGAGGCACCTGGGCCGTACAGGGCCGGGCCTGGTAGCCGTGGAAAGCAACCCTTGGGTGTGCGGGCTGCCGTCAGGGGACCTACGAGTGCCTGCTGCACGCCCTGGATTCTTCATGTCGTCTCTTTAGCTGTAAAGGGTGAGACATTTTTATCATCTTCAGGGCCTGCAGGGAGGCTGAGGGAACCCAGGATGCTTCCACCTTGGATCAGCCTCCCCAGGGCCAAACTCGCAGCAAGTGGACAATCTTCCCATGGTCATCATGTAGCCTCACCACGGTCTATGGGGGCAGGAGTGGTGGGGTCCAGAGCTGACAGACCCAATCTTGCCTTTGTCCTCATGGTTTTGAGAAGCCACAGGGTCAGCCTTAGGTTACCGTCCTTCTACCCACCTGGGAAAATACCAGGAAAGGGTATTCAGCTGCTAGTGTCCCCAGGAATTGGATGGAAACACTGTGTCTAGTTCTGGAGCTGGGAGTGAATGGCCAGGGCTTGGGGCCATGATCAGTTCTGCCCCCAGACCCTGCCTGCACAGATTATCTAGGAAGATGACCTAGTCCTGTGTGATGGGAGCACTTTATGAGCTCTCTACCGAGGGTCTTAGGGTGGTGGTGGCCCCTGTCTGGGCAGATGCAGCTAAGTCTGAGCTCATGAGGTGCCTTCTGCCTGTATCAGGACATGACTGGCTTTCCTCCTGTGGGTGGTGGATCTCCATCCCCACATAGAGCCCAGGACATGGTGGGGTGCCTGAGGCCTTGGGGAGCATTCACATTGGCTTGGTTCCAAGTGGAAGCCGCAAGATTGGAAAATGGTCCAACTTCCCCCTCCCCACTCTGGCAGCTGTGACTGTCCAGCTCTTCACAGACCTGCACTTGGGGTGCGGCTGACTGAGGGGCCTTGCCCAGCACACAGCCATTATAGCAGCCGTGCCCCATGGTGGCTCCCCAAGGGCCACGTGCTGAGCCTGGCTTGCCCGGCCCTGTGTCTTGCTCACTTGCCTCTTGCCTTCATGTCTCGCTCTCGCAGCTCTCCCGTTCAGGACATCCCCAAGAAGATGCCCAAAGGCCCTAAGCAGGTAAGGCTTCCCAGAAGTCAGGCAGTCACCATCCAACCCTTGCCAGGACCGAGTGTGAAGCTGGGCTTCCGAGAGGGCAGGGTCTTGCCAGAGCCCTCTCACTCCTGGCCCAGGACTGAAACACTTCGGAGCTACCTGGGAACTCTACTCATTAACCTTCCTGCCTCCGGGTGAGGCGTCAGTGATCCTGGTCCTGTTCTACCACCACGACCCGCCCCCTCCTTTGCTGCCATCAGGCTCATCAAGTCTGGCTTTGGGGTCTCCCCTCCAGGAGTCCCAGCTCTCACTGGGCGGCCAGCACTGTGTGGGAGAGCCAGATGAGGAGCTAGCTAGTGCCTTTCCTGTCTTCATCCGGAATGCCGTCCTAGGCCAGAAACAGCCCAAGAGGGCCAAGGCAGAGCCCTGTCGCAGCAGAGATACAGTGAGTATGGCTTCCCATGAGTGGCAAGTGCCAGCCCTCTTGGGGGGCCAGCCCCCTAGCCTATTAACCTGGCCCACTCACTTCTTCCTTCTACTTTAGGTAAGGACAGGCTTTGATGGGCTTGGAGGTCGGACAAAATTCATCCAACCTGTATCCTTGTTCTGTGACATTGGGCTGAGCTGAGCTAGCCACACCGTCCCTCACCCGTACCCCCCAGCCCCAGCCTGGCAGTGGCTACAGTCTCAGCTGTGTGGAGCTGGACCTCCCTCAGGACAGCAGAGCTGCCCACCCCCCAAGCCTAAGCCTTTGCTGCCCAGTCTCCTCTTTAGGCCTCTTCCTTGACAGCTTCTTCAGACTGACACAACGATGATCCGCCCACTGCCTGTGAAACCCAAGCCCAAGACTAAGCAGAGAGTTGGGGTGAAGAAAGAGCTCCCTCCCTCCCAGGCCAAGCTGGACACCTTCCTGTGGTAGTGAGAATAGTGAGCCGGATCAATGGCCAGATACATGCCTCCAATTCATAGGCCAGGACTGGCTCAGCAAGGGGTTTGGGGGGCAAGACCCCCACTTCGAGGACCAGCGCCAAGGGCAAGGGTAGACAAAAAGATGGGGGTGAGGGTGAGTCCCAGAAACTGTGCTTTACCTGCACTTACCCCCCCCCCCCACACACACACTGGGTCTACTGTACTGGGCCTATGTGTGGCTGCTGAAGTGAGGCCAGCAGGACTTCCTCCTTGTCGGAGGCTCCTGTTTGTGGCCAGATATGGCTGGGCTGCTTCTGATTCTCCAGACTAAGGTCTTTTATTGACTGTGTGGACCAAAGTGCCTGAGGCTTCTTGGGCAGCTTCAGCCTGCCCAAGCTTTTGCCTGCTTCTGACTTGCTGCAAGGCGTGGCCAGAACCGAGCAGGATGGGGAATGAGGGGATCATGGTGGGGAGAAGATTGGGGGGGGGGGAAGATTTCTATGTAAAATAAAAAAGATAGAATTTTTTCTTCATGGCTCTGGGAGTATGAATTTGCATCAACACTTTGGCAAACCGTTTGGCATAATTTTCTGAAGTAGGGCCTTCGCCTAGACTCAGACTCAGTAGTCCTACCCTTAGGCATGTGCCCCCTCCTAGGGCACAAGGAGACTCCAGCAGGAATGAGACCACTGCAGTTTTGTCCACAGTCCAAGCTGGGCACAGCCCAAATGCCAGAGGCTGGAAAGCAGATGGGTTAATAGGTATAGCCATACAGGGAACTCCCAGCAAGCAAAATAAATAATCAGTGACCTTTGAGTCTTAACTTCAAGAGCACTTTCTCCCAGACTTCCCCTTGTGACCTCTAGCTTCCCTTTCTCACCACTGCAGGGGGGTTCATCTGTCTCTGCGGGGCCCAGCACGGGCCTGGCACCGGGAGTGAAGGTTAGTGCCCTCATGCTTCGGGCCGAGCATGCCCCGCTGCCTCTAGCGCACCTGGAGGAGCATCACGGAGAGAAAGTAATGCTTGGTTATGGGAGCTGGAGCCTCTGCTGCCACCTTGAACCAAGGTTTGATGAGGGGAAGTGCAGTCTCGACTTAAGGGTGCAGTCGGCGGCGGCCTAATAGCCAGCCGAGTGATCTTAGGCAAACTAGCCTCTCTGTGTCTCAGCTTCTTTGATGTGGGGACAGTAGCACTAACCTCCCAATTGTGAGAACCTGATGAGTCAGCATTGCAGGTTAAGAACTTATGACCCCTAAGGAAATAATGCAGACTCAAAAGACAAATATTGTGATTTCACTTAAATGAGGTATCTAGAATGGGTAAATTCAGAGACAGAAGTAGAATAGAATAGAGGTTACCAGGGCCTAGAGTGAGGAGAAAATGAGGAGTCCTTACTTAATGATTAGAGAGTTTCTGTCTGGGGTGATTTGTTTTCTCGCTATATAAACTACCCCCCCACCCCCCACCACCCCAGCTTTTGAAGAATTCCAGTACAGTTGGGTGCCTCGGTGGCTCAGTTGGTTAAGCATCCAACTATTGATCTCAACTCAGGTTTTGATCTCAGGGTCATGAGTTCAGGCCCAGGATGGAGCCTACTTAAAAAAAAAAAAATTTTTTTTTAATTCTAGGATAGTTAACATACAGTGTTATATTAGTTTCAGGTATACGATATAGTGATTCAACACTTCCATACATTACTTAGGGCTCATCACAATAAGGGTACTCTTGATCCCCTTCACCTATTTCACCTACCTTCCCTCTGCCTGGGGTGATTTTAAAGTTTTAGAAATAGATAGTGGTGATGGTTACAAAACAGTTATTGCTAGACCTAAATACAAAGAAGTGGAAAGAGCGAATATAATCAACTATTTCAGAACTCTGATACCTGATTAGACAACTAGGAAAGAACTTGATGGAGGAAGAGCCAGGCTTGAACCAGCCACCATCCCCTATTCCTCATGGTTGTGGGGATAGCAGCTCCAGTTGCAAAAGCAGCTGACTGCTGCCAGAGCAGGAAGTAGATCTGAGGTTGTCTCCAGGTAGATGGTCTCAGAATTGAGTTGAATTGCAGGACGTGCAGTTGGCATTGGAAAATTGCTTGGTGGTATGGAATAAAATACACACTTAGGAATTAGTGTCAGAATCCTAAAAAACGATAGAGAAGATCAACAAAACCAAGAGCCGCTTCTCTGAAAGGTCAAGAAAATTGGCAAACTTTTAAATAAATTGACTAAGAGAAAAAAGACAAATTATCAAAGTCAAATCAAAATGGGGATGCTGTAACCAATTTTACAGAAATGGAAAGGATTATAACAGGATATTGTGAACAAGTGTACACCAACAAACTGGATAGCCTAATTGAAATGGACAAATTTGTAGACACAGAAACTAACAAAACCGACTCAAGAAGAGAGAGAAAATATAAATAGACCTGCAACTAGTCAGGGGATTGAACCAGTATTCAAAAAACTCCCAAGATGGGGCACTTGGCTGGCTAGTCGATTAAGTGTCCGATTCTTGGTTTTGGCTCAGGTCATGATCTCATGGGTCATGGAATGGAGCCCTGTGTTGGGCTCCACACTCAGTGGGGAGTCTGCTTGAAGATTCTCTCCCTCTGCCCCTCCCCCAATTCGCACGCGCACATACTCTCCTTTCTCTCAATAAATCTTTTTTTATTTTTAAAAAAATTTTTTAAAAGA